CGCGCACAGGCTCAGCACCCATAGGCTCCTCACACTCAGGCTCAGCACCCGCAGGCTCAGCACCCCCAGCAGCACGAGAGTCACCAGTGACCTCGACAGGCTCAACCAAGGAGAGTGGGTCTACCTGAGACACACCTGAAGGAGCAGGGCCCTGAGGGGGGAGGGGGTCTACCGGAGGGGGACCTGGAGCAAGGAAGAGCGGCGTGGGAGGGGGAGGGGCAGTGCGGTAGGGGAAGAGACGGTAAAAGGGAACCGACTCGTGAAACGTGACGTCCTGAGAGGACAGAACACGGCGCGAGGTGGGGTGGTAAACCTGCTAGCCAGGCGCATCAGGGGGGAAACGAAGGAAGACACAGGGAACGGCGCAGGCGGAGAGCTTGTCCGCGGAGGTATCGCGAACAAAGGCACAAGATCCCCAGACCCGGAACACTGACGCATCTCCAACCTCTCCCGTCCAACGCAATGTCGGCGAGGTCTCCGACAAGGGGACACGGGGCCAGAGGTTGAGCTGATGCGCAGCGTACCGGACCGCAAACAACCACAGAAAATAGGGGGCAGCTGCATGGATCATGGAGGTACAAGCGACCTCCATGATTAGGCCAATGCGGCACTCAGCAACCCCATTCTGCTGCGGAGAGGCCGGAAGCGTGAACGTCTGGCGAATGCCCTCACCACAACAATAGTCCCGCAAGAGGTCGGAGAAGAACGCACCACCTCTGTCAGAGTGCAGACGCAGGACAGGAAGGTCCATGTCAAACCGTTCGCGAAGTTGGAGACGGAAAGTGCGGATCCAAGGGATCAAGACACCAGGGACCTCACCCTTGCTGCGCAAGGGGAAGACCGTGGTGTAACGCGAGTAGTCCTCACCCTTGTTCGCGGCTTTGTCCCTGGACGTGGGCTGGGCCCCACACGTCCAAGTGGAGAGTCTGCAGGGGAGCAGTCGTCGGGGGAAACGAGGAGGAGTGAGGAGCGGCGCGCTGCCGCCCCTCGACACAGGGAAGGCAGGGAGGGGCAGGCGAGGGTGGGAGGGGAGGGAGGGACCCGGGAAGACCAGAGACAAGAAGGCGAGAGTGCATGCCACGGAGGCGTGGCAGAGAGGGGTGACCAAGGCGGTGGTGCCAAAGGAGAGTCTGGTGCGACAGGGCGCGACACGAGCAGGAGGCTGCTAACTGACCTGACGCAGACGCAGACGCAGCCACCTGAACAGGTGCAGTGGTCAGTGTGTACAGGCTCGACCCAGGCCGACGGGTGAACGTGGCCAGGTGACGGCCCGTTCGTGCACACGTGCAGATCACGACACGCTGTCCCCCATGAGTAAAGGTCTTAACCCATTCATCCTGAAGGACGGCATTGCTCACCAAGTTCGTAGAGAACGAGGGGAGGTGAAGACCTGACAGTGAGCAAGACGGAACCCCCGGACACGGGAGAACAGTGGAGGAACGTGCAAGAACAGGTCCCCCAAAGGGATCAGCCAGAGAGAGTGCAACCGGTGCTGCTAGCAGTGTGACTGTGGTGCTGTCGCGATAGAAGCAACGGGAAGCATCTGAGTCAAGCGTGAAGGTGTGCAAGGCCTCAGCAGGTGCAGTACCAGAGAGAGCAGACTCACCAGCACCTAAAGCAGCAGCCGCTATACCAGGGTCGGGCGGCACACACAGGTAACAGTCACCCTGAGTACTAATAGACAAAGCATACATGGCAGTGAGGATAGTGTCATAGTCTAGAGCAAAGATATCCACCTTGCTCCTAAGCAGCTCTAGCCAGTGGGGGAGCTCAGCCTCGTCGCCAAATACTGCACGCCAGGCGTTGCTCAGACAGGCGAAGCAGTGAGCCTGTGCATGACCAAGTGTCCCGCAGGTCTGACCAGCCCGATCACCTGTGTATGCCCGATCCCCCCACTCTGAGCGTACCACTCACGAAGCTGCTGGGGCGTAAGGGTCACAGCCAGGAACTCCGCACCGAGAACTGCCACCTCAGCGACCGCACAACCATAGGATAGAGCTAGAACCGGAGGCGCAGCCGATAGTACAGCGACAGTTTCGACTGACCCAGCCCGAACTGGACGAACAAAAGAAGCAGCTGGATTACCTATTCAAAAAGGAGTTCATTCGCCCGAGTTCGTCACCCTTCACAGCACCGACACTGTTCACACCGAAAAAGGACGGGGTTTTTTGCATGTGCATCGATTACCGTGCACTGAACAGGGTTACCATCAAGTCTCGTTACCCCACGAGCCAACGAACTGATCGACCAACTGCGCACAGCCCGGGTTTTCTTAAAAATTGACCTTCGAGGAGGCTACCACCAAATCTGAGTCAGCCCACTTGACTGCCCGAAATCCGCTTTCCGAACACGCTACGGATCCTTCGAATACACCGTCATGCCCTTCGAACTGACCAGTGCCCCCACCACTTTTCAAATGACGATGAACGAAGCCTTCCGCCTACTTTTAGATAAGTGCATCATCGTGTACCTTGACGACATACTGTTTTACAGCCCAGACAGAGCACAGCACCTACAGGACATTGAAGCGGTTTTCAAGATACTGAATGAAATCCGCCTACTGACGAAAGCATCTAAGTGTGGAGTTTTTGAAGCGGTTTTTACAGGATAGGCTGGAGTTTTTGGGACACATTACTTCAGCTGCAGGAGTGGAAATAGACCCGAAGAAGATCGCGACGATTCAAGTGTGGCACGCGCCAACAAATTTGACCGAGTTGCAGAGCTTTTTGGGGTTCATCAACTACGTGTGCCGGTTCGTCCCCGACATGGCAAAGTTGACTGCTCCGTTGACCGACCTACTGAGGAAGGGGGTTGAGTACACGTGGGGGGAGAAAGAGCAAGCTGCCTTCTCGGCCCTCAAGGAAATTTTGTGCTCACCGCCTGTGCTTCACATCGCAGATCCGCACCGTCCGTTCGAACTCGTCATCGACGCAAGCGACATCGCTGTGGGAGCAGTACTATTGCAGGACTTTGGGAACGGCCTCCAGCCAATCGCGTACGAGTCCCGCAAGCTTCACCCACCCGAACGCAACTACCCGATATACGACCGCGAAATGTTGGCGATCGTGCACGCATTCAAAGTGTGGCGATGCTACCTCACCGGAGCATACGTGACTGTACGGACAGATCACCGATCACTACAATACCTCCGCGCCCAACCGAATCTCAACCCGCGATAGATCCGCTGGTTGGACTATCTTGGAGTCCAACTTACACTACACAGTCACGTACAAAAAAGGCGCATCGAACATCGCCGACACACTCACGCGCCCTACCGCCCAACTCCACGCCATCCTACTCGCCCAGACCAACCCACTGTTGACAGACTTATTCACCCACGTTTACAGTACCGACCCATTTTTCACGACTGGAAATTCATAGCAACTGATCAAAGCTAGAGGAGTCTATTACGTAAAGACAGGCACCAACCGCATTTGGGACCCCGCGTACTCACTAATGAGGGAACTATTACTGCAGGAGGCACATGACGGGGTAATCTCGGGTCACTTCGGGGTAGAAAAAACGCGACATCAACTACAGCGGTATTACCACAAGCCGGAGCTGTTGACCGACGTACAGCACCACGTGGGCTCGTGTCCTGCGTGTCATGTGATGAAGAGCTCGCGAAAGAGAAAGGCAGGTCAATTGCAGTCGATTCCACCGCCCGAGCGCGCCTGGCAGCAGGTTACCATGGATTTTGTCATGGGGTTACCTTCGAACCCTGGGGGTAACGACGCGGTAATGGTCGTCGTTGACAGACTGACGAAGATGGCTCACTTCCCTGCGTGCAAGAAATCGATCTCAGCTGAAGAAACCGCTCGCCTATTCATTGCAATCGTCGTTCGACTGCACGGGATACCAGCCGCGATAATCAGTGACCGCGAGACGAAGTTTACCAGCGACTTCCGAAAGAACCTCTGGGAGCGATTCGGGACAAGGCTACAGTTCAGTTCATCGTACCACCCCGAGACCGATGGTCAGACGGAGCGGACCAATCAGACGATGGAGCAGTTGATTCGGGCCACGTGCGACGACCCTACTCTCTAGGAGCAGCAGCTGCCGCTGATCGAGTTCGCTAACAACGCCACGTCAGCGACGACGCAGCAGTCCCCGCTTTACTTGAACTACGGGCAAAATCCAACAGTGCCCATGACGTCGAGCCCGGACAACCCAACACCACGTGCACAGCAATTCGCCGAGACTCTGCAAGTTGCCCGCATCAGAGCCGCAGAAGCAATTAAAAAAACCAACGTCATCGCATAACGCAACGCTGACCGCCACCGCCGCAGGGCTGACGCTATCAGACTAAATAGTCTGATTAGTCTGACCAATCAGACCATTGAGCTTGTGGAAAATGGATTTGCAGAGTAATCAGCATTTCATCCCTGAGGACCTCAGTGTTATTGTTTGTAGGCCCCTGTTATAGTGTAATAGGCATCAGACTTACTCGTTTCCAGAGGTTGTCTCTACAGAGTATACAGTCTGTGGTCCCTGTACGCCGGTCTATCGGGAGGATGCTTCCCCGAATTTTCTCGAAAATACCCCCCCTCCCCCCCCCCCCCCAACTTTCCCACGCGTAATCATTTCCACACCCCCCGTGGTTGTCTTCTTGTTCGCGTGGTCTCGAATCCACGTAATGTTGACAAAGTCTGTTGGTGCGCTGTGCACAGCAAGGCAGCCAGGTGCTGCGGCCAGCATGCCAAGTTTGCTGATGACTCTGCAGCCACGCGCACCGCGCAACCCTCACGTAATGTGATGGGTCGATTGCGATTGGTGGCATGGCGCAACAGCTATGTGTGGTGGGCTTGTTTCAGATGAATTTGGCCTTGAATCCAAAGCCCGATTCATTCTGCAAACCCCACATCACTCCGTGAGCCATTTTCGTGGCGTCGCGGCTTTCGTTCCGTCTGCTGCACCTGGTTCTTTCCAGCTGAAGGGGTCCCCCATTTTCACTTGTTGCTTTCATTAGTGTGCAATCACTTTCATCCTTCTCTCTCGCCATGGCGTCCTTATCTCCCGCGGAGGACTCGCCTGAGACCGTCCCGGAAAAGCCTCCCGATCGTAGGGTTAGTGGCCTAGACTTCCTTCGACCGAGCGTAGCTCCAATCACTCCAGAACATCTAGTTATCGCTGCTGTTGTTAATACCGACGATTTACCGTCGTCCAGCAAGGATCCGCAACCGGCCCCCAATCCCGCGCCTGCTCCAGCGCCGTTCACTCTCCCTCCTACCATCGCGCCGTCTAGCAAGGGGCCGCAACCTCCTCCCAATCCCGCGCCTGCTTCAGCGCCGTTCACTCTCCCTCCCGCCATCGCGTCGTCTAGCAAGGGGCCGCAACCTCCTCCCAATCCCGCGCCTGCTCCAGCGCCGTTCACTCTCCCTCCCGCCATCCCGTCGTCGAGTAAAGCGCCTCCCTTTGCAGTTGGTAGCAGCGGCTGCAGCGATGGCGCTCCCGCCTCTGAGGGTCGTACAGCAAAGGCGCGCGCACTATCTTACTCCGCGGGAAGTTTCAGCAGAGCACGTTGACCTTCGGCGGTGTGCGCGTGCCGCCACCAAGTGCTCCAGAAGACTCCAAGCCGGAACCAGAGGAACCAGAGGAGATACCTGTACGTGCGGACACCAACTTCCCCGTGCTGTCCAAGGCCGAGTTAATGGAGCAGAAGTACATAGAGAAAAGTGTTAAGTATAACACCCCGTGGTTGCCCAAATTCTCGTGGCTGCTCTTGGTTCGCGCTAAAGATGGTGGTCCCAGTGTAAAGTGCAGCCTGTGTCTCTCGTTCGGCAAGGAGACAACCAAGTACTCAGGTCCAGGCAACGGCGGGCGAGACCTTCAGACGCACACGATGCGCATCCACGAGCACACGACGGTCCACAAGGAGGCGATGCAGCATCAGGCAGAGATTGCGGAGACGATTTCGAACGGCCAGACGAAAATTGATCGCTTCATCAACGCGGACGTTGAGGGTCGGCGGGCGATCCGGCTGATGCGGTCGGTGCAGTTTCTGTGCCAGGAGGACGCGCCCATCAGCATGTTCCCGAAGCTCATGAGGCATCTCGCTGAGCAGGACACCCCCGACATCCCGAAGCAAGCCTACGGGGTGTACCTCACGAGGTGGGTCAAGTACGGTTTTAATTTTGGTACCGTGATTTACGTATGTTTGAAGACTAACGTCCTGGTTCTTCGTACCCATTGCAGATACGGTTTCCAACAGATGGTGCACTGCCTGAGCACCTGGTTGACTCAGACGCAGATGGAGCACATCGCCCCATCGCCCTTCCTCGGTTTGAGCACAGACGAGAGCACCGACCGGACTCGCGGGAAGCACATGATTGTGTACATCACGTTCTTGCGCAATCGTCGAGTCGTAACTGAATATCTCACCCTTCTTACTGTCAAGCGGTGTGATGAAGCTTCTCTCTTGTCGGTGCTCCTGAACCACCTGCACACCGCCAACATTGACATCAACCGAGTGGTGGGTATCAGCACAGACGGCGCGTCTGTAATGATTGGATGCGACAACGGCCTCGTCACAAGGCTGCGGGAGCATGTGGCACATCTGGTGTCAACACACTGCATCGCCCACAGGTGATGCAATCATTCATGGCACCCTCATCTCGCTTTATTTACCATTTATCACGAAGACCACGACAGATGCTAATAATTGGTTTCTCGGAATTACAGGGAGGCATTGGCGGTGAAGGACGCGGCCACGGCTAATCCGGACCTCGCGATGGTGGACACCGTGGTGCGCACTCTTGCTGAACGCCTTGGCGCCTCATGCCACTGGAACCAGCGCTTCAAGTACCTGCAGCGCGTCATTTACAATACGAACCTCGAGGTCCAGGGCATCCACAGCGTGCGCTGGCTCTCCCGGGGCGACGCGGTGAAGCGTCTGTGCAAGGTGCTGGGCGCGGCGATCGTTCTCTTCCACGAGAAGGAGCACGAATTGTACGAGACGGTGACATCGTACAAGTTCCAGTTCTGCCTCTTCTTCCTCGCTGACATCCTCGGCGACCTGAACGATCTCAACCATTCATTTCAGAAGCGCCAGGTGAGTCAGCAGTGTATGGTTGGCTATATATTTTGTTTAATAGTCGGGGCAGACGGTACGAGTGCGTGGCGCGGATTCGGAGGGCCGCCTTGTGAACCACTCGTACATCCTGCAAGAGAGGAAGCTCAAGGACCATAAGTACAAGAGCGGCTGCAAGGCGTGCGTGAAGCTGTATCGCAAGTTCGCAACAGACGTCGTCGATCGTCTCCTGTTTCGCCGGGACGACCTGCGGGGGATGGGTCCAACGAAGTTGTTTCGCGCGTCTAAGTGACCCAAGAGCAAGCACGCACGAGACCGCAAGTGCCAGGACTGGCTGACTGGCTGTAGCGCTCTGTTCAAGAACAAGCTGCCGGGGTTTGATCACAAGAAAGCGTCGCGGGAGCTAACAACCTGGTGCCCAATCATGGAGTCTCACCACAAGGAAGAGTCATTCGCGCAGGGACTGGCGAACTTCATGGGGAGCGGCGACGCCAAGAGGTAAGATTACCTAGTCTGCGTGTGCCACATGAATGTGTCAAATCTAACGCATCGAGAAAACTGCTGCTCCTTGTTTTTGGCAGGCGCTGGCCCAACCAGTTGCTGATGTGGCAGGCGCTGGCAGTCCTGCCACTATCCACTGTGGAGTGCGAGCGAGGGTTCTCGCGCCAGAACGTGATCAAGTCGTGGATCCGTGGGTCTCTCTACAACGCGCGGCTCGCGGAGCTGATGCAGATCTCGCTGCTGCAGTACGAGATGGACTGGCCTGGGGTGCTCGATACCTGAAAGAGCCTCAAGAAGAGGCGCCCCGCGCAGAGCGTTCTGTTCCCATCTGACGATCGCAAGCGTAAGGAGAAGGAACCGGAGGAGGAAGAGGAGGAACCCAGGGAGCCGGCTGGCGAGGAGGGGTCATTCGCGGAGTCAGACGATCATCGTGACGACAACCAGGAGACGGATCAGGACATTGAGCAGTCACCGCCCCGAGGAGGAAGATAACCCGTTCCTCTCGGATGACGAGGAGGGGGAGGAGATGTTTCACATAGATCAGCCGACAGAGTAGGATAGGATTCTTAGTGCTATGCTGTCCTGTGTATTCCAAGTCCCGGCCGGGCATTGTTGACAGTGTAGTGTATGTGTAATAGAAAAAAATGGTAGAAACAGAACTCTGATCATAGCTCGCCAACCTTGTGACCACAGGGATAGGGTTTCCTGGAGACTGAGCCATCAGAGTGGCCAAAATCTGGCCGAAGTACCCTCAGAGTAAAAAAAAAAAAAAAATCTAGAGCCATCAGTGTACCCAAATTTGAAACGTCAGCCCTGCACCGCCGCCCAGTCACGTACCAGTCAGGAGATTACATACTACTCGACACACGGAAATTAAGACTGCCCGTCGTGCCGAAATTATGACTGCGCTACCGTACTACGGACCATTCCAAATCAGCCACATGGTCACCCCAATTACCGCCCACCTACTGTTGCCGACAGACTGGTACATCAGCCCAACATTCCACGTCAAACTGCTTCGCCCTTACATCCCAACCACGAGCCAACTGCCTCGTCACCGTTCGCCAGCCATGACTCGCCCTGCATTGGAGCCGATCATTGAGCCCGCCGAGCCATCGGATTCAACACCCCACAGGTGTCAAGAGGATCGAGTTCCTCGTTCGCTAGAAGGACCGCACGCCAAATGAGGATAGCTGGGTGCCCCTGGCCAACATCGAAAACCACCCTGCCCTGCAAGTGTACCTGAGGAGCCGGGGTTTCCGCGATATAGACGCACTCGCGTAGCGGAGGGGGCTTCTTGAAGGAGGAGGGATAGTGTAAGGAATTTTCTCGACATTCCTTACTGCGACCGGCAACATCTCGTACGGCAGCAACCGTTGTTCGCCCGTTGCTGCTAACGGGGCTTCGCCAACTTCGCACGCACTATTTCACCAAACCTCGCACTGCTGGACCAGTCGAGTCGGCCTACGTTTCGGGACTAGCCCAAACTTCGCGCCGGCGTAGCATTGGCTAGCTCGCACGCACTGCGTTACCGTTTGCATGTTTTCGCCTATAAGTATTCGCTCATGCCTTCGCTCATACTTGTACTCTTTGAACACTCTAGTGCAATCCTCGCTACCTCGATATATTGCACCCGTAACGGTTTCATACACCACATCTGTGCATAGTCGTTGGGCACTTCCGCAGACTTGGATGTGAGTTGTGCTAACTCTGTAAGGTGCACTCGGTATAGTTATTAACAGTTCGGATGATTTGTTTCTTATGTGCTCATTTGAAGTCCAGCAAAATATTCATAATTTAATGTGCCTTCCACTCAGCTGTTGCTGCTGACACGGAAGCGACTCGAGCCGTCAGTTCAAGTGCGTTGCACTGTGCGTTTCGCTGTCGATATCGTCCCCCCAGCCTAGGCAGTGGGTGGGCTGGGCATTCTACTCCAACCCCTGGGACGCGAGAGTTCCTTGCGACGCGTGCGAACATGTGGGTTGGAATCTGGCACATCAGATCCCAATCGCGCGTCGCACACTTATAGCACGTCGCGTGTGATTGCGTCGCAGCACCTTGGCGTGAAGTGACCGGCGCGTGCGATGGCCTTCATTTGTACCTAAGCGCACACTTGCGAGGCTGGGCGTGAAGTGACCGGCGCGGCTCGCATCGCATCGCATCGCAACGCCGTGTGGCGCGGTTGTGTTTCTGCTTGGACTTGTTTGGAGGGCTGCTATGCTGAATCGGACGGTTGAGATGGAATGGACGGAACACCGTAATTGTGAATTGCACCCCACCCCCTCACTTTCCCCGCTCCTCCGCGGTCATTCATTTTCTACCCGCCCAGTTACCAGCACAACAAGAGCCTTCTTTACTCTACCGCATCTCAGTAGCTCCAGAAATACAGAATGGAACATCATTGCGGTCAGCCTGTATCTGGCCAGCTCGACCGACTGTTCCCGACTTTGGAACTCGCTCGCCTTTTTCAAATCACATTGGAAGGTGGATGTGTGGTATGGTTCAGAGTGGCAATCCAGCATTACCTATGCGATGCGATAAGCTCCTGCTCTGTTAACCCGCCCAAGTTAGGTTAGGTGCTCCTCACAAACGCCCACTGAAATTCAGAAAGCATCGGTGAGAATCTCAGAAAACTGCTCCAGTATGAGTTACCTTAATCGTTAAATTATCGTTTCTACGTATTCACAGAACAACTCACCACCGCAACCTGCCTCCACTTGAAACATATTCACTAGTCAATCGAAGCAGATTGTCGCGACAATCGCGCCTTCCCTTGCTTCTGCGGGGCAATCAACGACGACGATAAACTCGACGCGGAATTCCGAGCCGCTTTTAAAAGCAGAAATCGCCTCGCATAGCCTGCATGTTACTACTACTATTAGTAGCGTCTCTCACGTCTCCCACTGAGATCGCTCGCCAATAACGCCACCTTCTCAAAGAGCCTTATCGCCTAGGATCGTCCATAACGCACAGCAGCAGCAGCGGAGCGGCTTCTATGCCGACGGTGACCTTCCAAGTGGCGGCGGAGGAGTCGCTGGGTTCAGCTTGTCTCTACCTGACAGCGTTGCCCGCCGCAGGTATCGCCAGCCGCAGCAGCAGCAGCAGCAGCAGCAGCGCCGTCAGTTCCAATGGCCGCGAGGGAGCTGACGGTGCTGATGCGCGAAGCGTGTTCGACGGCGTCGCAATGGCTTCGCTCGCGGGAATCGTGCGACAGCTCGCGCAGCTATCCGAGTGAGTCCGTTTTCGCGCAAAGCTGGTGCAAGGGAAGTTGGGTTCGACAGACATGGAAAGAAGAAGAAATTACATAGAAAACTAAATGATTAAAATGACCAGAGTCGAAGGAACCAGCTCGCGTGAGTTAAAACCCCGAAAATAAAGGCCTTGGTATCGAGTTTTGATGAAATCTTGGCGGGTAGCCTCAAGGTGCTGCTGCCTTACGAGCGATCATTTTCGTCGCCGAGGGTTTTATTGCCAAGCAACGCCGTGTTGTGCCTTTCTCGGCGCATCCTTCTCAATCTTTCCGCTTCTGCTGCCTCGATTTCCCGCCTCCTCGGTCACCCGTTCCCCCTCAGCCACGCCGCGGCGGTATTCGAAAGCCTGTCGGCGGAAGTGGCGGACGTGGGGAGGCGGCGCGCGGCTATTGTGACGCGCGTGGCGGACGTTGAAGCGCGGTTATCGCGGATTGAGCTGCGCACGCTGCGGGACACGCAGCCTGTGCGGCTTGTGTATGCGCCAGGTGGGGGAAAGCGCGGAAAGTCGGGGACGGGGGGGCGGAAGTCGGGAAAAATGGGGAGGGTGCAAGAAGTTGGGGCGCGGCGGTTAGTGAAGTGGGGAACGAGTGATGGGGATTGCGGGAAGGGTTTGGGGAATTGGTGTTGGGGGATTGGTGTTGGGGGATTGATGTTGGGCGACCCAATAAACACACCAATCGAACCGCAGGTTCCAGAATCCCGTTGAAAGATTACACTATTTGAGGGATTACACCATTTGGGGGATTACACCATTTGGACCCCATTCCCTTGTGCGACCATGCCATGGATCTGATTTGAAACGTAGTGCCCCCACACTACGCGTTAAACCGCTATTCCCTCTCTGTTCTTGTGCCCAACCAGCAGGGTCCACGTGGAGGTTTGGTGACGCCACACATGGGCCAGTGCACGGGCAAGGGCGGAGTGGGCATGGGCATGATAACATATTTCAGCCTGGCACGCGACCGGCGTTTCTGCAATGGCAGTACGTGCAGGCGGGCCCGCAGCGTGCGGTGGGGCATGCTGCGCTGCCTTGCTACGAGTGTGGTGCTTCGCGCAGAGATGATCCCTCCTCCAAACGAACCAACGCAGAGCGAGGGGTGCCAGGATCAGCACTGGGGGGAGAGGAAACAAAAGCACTTACTCTGGGTGTGGCAGAATGGAGCAGGGCAGGGATCGGCAGGAGAGACGACACGAGTGAAGCTACTGGAAAGGCCAAGGGAGGGGCAGGTGGTAAGGAGGAGGGTGAGAAGGAGGAAGGAGAGGAGGGAGGTTGTAACCGAGGATTGCTGACGCCTACCGCTCGTGAGCCTGCTACACATGAGCCTTCCCCACATGAGCCTTCCTTGCATGAAATTTCCCCACAAACGCCTGTTGCGCATGAGTCTACACCGCATGCATATGCACATGCACAGGGCGAGGGTGACGAATGGGGAGCAGACAAGAGTGAGGCGACGAGTGGGGGTAACCCGGTGACGGTAGGAGGAGTAGCGGCATTGGCAACAGCAGCGGGAGAACCTAGTGAGACGTGTCAGAATATGATGGTGGGAAGAGGAGCAGCATTGGCAACGGCAGTGGGGGAAATGATGGTGCGGGTGGTGGGGGAGGATAGTGAGGGTGGTGGAGGGGAGGGAGGGGAAGTGGGGGAGGGAGGGAAGGAAGTGAAAGGAGAGGAGGAGTGGGTGGGGCAGCAGAGGCGGCATCATATGGAAGAGGAAGAAGAAGGTAGTGCTTCAATGCAGAGGGATGATGCTTCAAGTACAGATCTCGTGGTTGAGAACGGTTCTGCAGAATGTGAGGGAACGGGCGACGAGGAAATGAGCGAAGAAACGGGAGATACGGAAGAGAGTTGGGACGAGGGAGTGAGGGATGGGGAGGAGACGGTGGTGGTTGGGGGTGGAGGAGGGTTGCTGGGTGGGAGCTTCGGCGAGTGGCGGCATGGGGAGGTGGGAGGCGGGCAGCGGGTTATCGCCGCTGTTGTTCTCACGTGTGGCTTGCTTGTAGATGGTGATGGTGATGGTGATGATGGCATTGATGCTGGCATTGATAATGGAAGCCTGTATGGCTCCAGAGACAACTGTTACACTGGTCATCACGTTGAGAAGGGGGAACAGGTTGGGCACATTGTAGAGTTCAGGCAGGGAGAGGAGGAGGGGGTGCTGTTGACCTGTGCACACCATTCACATGCGCTCCAGCAGGGAGTGGAAGAGAAGGAATCTGGAGCAGCCGTCGTCGCTGCTGCTG